TGCCAACGAACTGGGTGGTATATAGTTTCACTCCGGACGGGCTATATTCAATTTAATGAGAATAAGGTGTAATTATTTCCAGTCCGTTTTGAAGAAGAGCTGGAAATATACCATGCCCTCCATGAGATTTGAAGGGTTGATAGCCCATTCAACTGCCAGTGCTATGATAACCTTCTTGACGACTTTTCGATCGTTCTCTTTTGGGCGTTTAGCGCCCTCCAAGATGGGAGGTCTGTTGTTATGAAGAGTTATGTTGAGAGAAAAGTGGTTTTCTATCAAAAGCCTCAACGTTTCTTCACTAGAGGTCGTGAATGTTCCATCGGGCCGTTTAAGCGACTTTTATTTTCTATTTGCAAAACTTTGAACTCTTCGTTAGATATGATTTTCTTCTAGAAGATAATTTGAATATGTTGAGTTTGTTTTCTTATTTACATAGCTCGTATGATGTTCCTGTATTCGATTCCTAAATGTTCTGCCGGTTTGACCAATATATACCCTGAAGCACGTTCCACACTTCAATTTATGTACTCCTGTTTTCTTGAATTTGTATGTCTTGCCTTTATTATTTTTGACGAACTTTCCCAACGTATTACTTGTTCTATATGCAATTTTTATATCTCTTGGGAAAGTTAGTTGAAAATAATAAAGACAAGACATCCAAATTCGAGAATTCAGGAGTATATAAATTGAAGTGTCTAAAAACGAGCTATGTAAATAAGAAAACAAATTCAACATATTCAAATCATCTTCTAGAAAAAAATCATTTCTTTAACGAGAGTTCGAAATTTTGCACAAAAAAAACAAAGGTTTGAAACTGAATCATTTGGAATAGAAATTAATAAACTTAAAAATTCAAACATTCTAATGAATGGCCAACTAGATTTGAATAGATCACCATTATTGAACTTATTTTCTTAAAATCCAAGAAAAAATTATTATTGATGTAGATGTGAGGTAATATGCTTCAGGTAATCATAATTCAGCAGGTACCTTTGGTAAAAGTTTAGGTAATTTTTGGAGGTAGTCTCAATTATGGTTACCTGTAGTATATGAATATTAACACGTAGAGTGCCATGGTGGGTCAACGATGTCCACCAGCTGAGGGGAAAAAATAAATCTACACTGGCCGCGGTGGGTCGATATTATTCACCATGCACTTTGTAACTTCTGGCCTCGGTGGGCTTGCGTCGTCCACCAGAGCCATGCTAAATATGCAGGGAACGAACTAAGATGCTTTTAGCAAGATTTCGTCGTATTTGGTTTTTATGCTGGTGGTCAACATTGTCCACCAGAGTCAAAATATCAGTACCAAATAATTTAGAAATTTGAGGTAACTGTAACTAGTTTTTGAGCGTCAATCAAATAGCTCTTACAACAAATATCATAAAAACAAAAAGCTAACTGAAAATGTCCATTTATTTTAATTTCGAACTGTGTATTTCGAAAAAACATTCTGAGCAAACATGTTTGTTGCACGCTTCACAACGATATTTTGTCTTCTTTGTTTTATTCTTTGCTGAATTTCTTCCCATTTCCGTGACGTTTTTTTGATAACAGTGAGTACACAATTGTCTTTTATCGGCTTCAAATAACTTGTGATCAGTATCAGAATCGGG